GGGGGGGGAGGGAGGGAGTGAGAGAGGTTAGGCAGGGATGGCAGCGGGGAGGGAGGCCTGGCACCCCGAGCACTCGGACACGTCCCTGGCGGCCTCCGCGAAGAACGAGCTGCTGGCGGCGGAGAAGGCTTTCGACACCTCGGACGGCGGGGACGGCGGCGCGGCGCCCGAGTCCTTCCTGCAGCTCGCGAGGGGCTCGGCGGGCACGCGCGAGCGGCCTCTGGAGCCGAGGGGGGGTCAATCATGATGAGGAGGAGGAGTAATCGGTGGAGGAGGAGGAGGAGGAGGAGGAGGAGGAGGAGGAGGAGGAGGAGGGGGAGGGGGAGGAGGAGGAGGAGGAGGAGGAGGAGGAGGAGGAGGAGGAGGAGGAGGCCAGTGTCAACCCATGATGCAACAAACTTTTCCTCCCAGCTCCCGCTACATAGACCCCTACAAGGGTTCGCTTTCACTGACCAAAGTGCCCCGTTGGAAAGCAGCCGTTTGAAAATCTTGAAATGTGCCAGAACACCTTCCTGGGACTCCAACTCCGCAAATCAACCGACATCGTGCAACAAAAACCTTTTCTCGGAAGTTGACCATGAGAACCCGTGAAATTTGCGTAATTTTAAAAACTAATGTTTGCAGCGTTATGGCGAGAACCACATGTTGAGAAGTAGCCGCTCTCCATCCGTGAAACCGTTGCACCGGTTCATGACGAGTGCGCGCGGCGCTAAGGCGTAAGCCACCTTTTGAAAACGACCCGATCTCCATCCGTGAAACGTGTGCAGCGCTAAATCGAGGGCCGCATTTTGAAAGCGACCTGTCCTCAATCCGTGAAACTCTTGCAACTTGAGACGAGTATGCGCGGCGCTGAGGCGAGAGCCATATTTCGAAAGCGACCCGCCCTCAATCCGTGAAACTGTTGCAAATGTTAGGCGTCAGGATCACACGTTGTGAAGAAGTAAATGTCAGGCGAAACGACCGGCCCGCCGTTCCGACTGGCCTCGGGGTGCGATAGGGAGGAGCTATTCCTGAGGAAAAGAAATGGACGAAGAGGAGGAGGATGAGGCGAAGGAGGAGGTGGAGGAGGAGGAGCAAAAGGAGGAGAAGGAGGAGGAGGAGGAGGAGGACGTGGAGGAGGAGGAGGAGGAGGAGGAGGACGAGTAACAGGAGGAGGAGGAGGAGTAACATGATGATGTGGAGGGGGAGGAGGAAAAGGAGGAGGAGGAGGAGGAGGAGGAGGAGCACGGGGAGGGGGGGTGACCTCGACGACGACGACGACGACGACGACGGTGATGATGATGGTGATGGCGATTGCGATGATGATGGTGATGGTGATGATGTTGTCGGGATCCCTCTACGCCTTGAGCACCGCGATGCTCCTGTGGGACCTCGCGGACTGTATCGAGACTCGGGGGTATGGCCTGGTCGGGGCTTGCGCGGACGACAAAAGAGGAGCCTTTGCTGCTGTGCGTCATCTTGTGCACATGTGTCGCGTGATGTGTGCTGCCGATGCCATGGCCAACTTGCTCAAGCTCGTCAAATGCAAGATCGTCCCTCTCTGGTTGCTCCACGACCTCGTGCAGGCCGCTCTTGCTGCTGTCGTGCCGTCCTGGAGTACGTTCGAGGTGGTTCCCGAGTTGCTCTACCTGGGCCTCTGGTTAGGCCAGGCTGTCACCGCCGAGCGACGTTGGGTCGACCCTGTCGCGAAGCTCAGGTTGTGTTCCTTGCCACCGGGCACGGCGTGACGCCTGCCAGTGTGCCGTCGGTTCTTCATAATGCGAGGGCGGTCAGCGCGCTGCCCTACATTGCCCAAGTCTGCTGGCTACCTCCGGATGCGCCTCGGCTCGAATTGTCTGTTCTGGCACAGGTTTTCTGTGCCTCCCTGGGCGCGTGCACAGTCAGCTCTTGGACTCAGCTGGAAGCTTGGGCAGGGCCGTGCGTGGTTCGGTGGGCTCACCTGAGTGCGGCGTCCTTGATGCGCGCAGGGTTGCTGCCCTCCCCGCAGCGCGGGCGGCTGCTCGCCGAACTTCGTGGCCATGCTCTGCGTCACCCTGAATGTCACAGTCTTGATGTGCTCGCCCGGGGCATCTACCGCCCGTGCTTCTGGAAGACCCCCGCGAGGGTCGAGACCCTGCCTGCTGCCGCCGCTGCTGCCCCCTCGCCTGGCCAGGTGGCGCCCGTGATTGTCCCTGCCCGCGAGGCGGCGGTCGCCGCGCCGGTCCCCCCTCCCGGTGGGCGCGCCCGGTCTCAGCGCGCAGCTCATCGGGCGATGCGCTCCCTGGCTGCGGAGCAGGGCCCGCCGATAACGCTGCTACGCATACGCCGACGCAAGCGGTCATCGTGCCGCGATCGACGCTGTCCACAGGGACGCCGTGGCGATCCTTCTGAAGCGGTGTCCATGCTCGTGGGCGTGGGTTTCTCTCCGCACCTGGACGGACGCTCCGATGACCTCATCGCGTATCATCCGCCCGCTTGGCCAGCGGGCTTGCTCCTTCGGCTGCGCTGCACCCGACGCGCTGCGGCACTGCGCCTTCTGCCGACCGATGCACCGCGCGTTGCGACGCGCTCTGGCCAGGCACTACTCGCTGCCCGCTGGTCCCTCCGGCCGCCGTCGATAGAGGTCGTCTCCTGCATGATGGCTGCCTACAGCATGTGCCACGCGGCCGAGACGCGCGCGGACCGGCCTCTGTCCCCCGTCGACACTGCCAGCCGTGCTCCGGCGGGTGTCCGCGCTATGAGGTCAGCGCGGCCTTCGAGGCTGACGGCGCCTGAGCGGGAGGCGCGCGTGCCGTGGCCGACGACGGCTCGACGTCTTCTGCCTCCTTCTTCGCCTGGCGTGCGCTCGGCTGCTGGCGACGCCGAGCTCTCGGACCCCGAGCCGCGACCCTGCACCCATCGCGGAGGCGGAGCTCGCTGGCGGGTCTGCCGGGGGCCCGTCGCCACGTCTCGCCCGTGGCCCGACCCCTCCTGGCCTTCCGCGCGCACCGTCGCCACGTCTCGCCCGTGGCCCGACCCCGACCCTCCTCCTCCTCCTCCTCCTCCTCCTCCTCCTCCTCCTCCTCCTCCTCCTCCTCCTCCTCCTCCTCCTCCTCCCCCTCCTCCTGCACTTCCCCCTCCTCCCCCTGGCGGCCCCCGCCGTGGCCCGACCCCGACGAGGGCGGCGACGGCGGCGCGGCTTGGCGGCTCGAGCCTCGCGATGGCGGATCTGGCGCCGCAGGGCCCCCGATGCGCAGCAGCTGCGTCCGTCGGCCGCCGGCGCCGGAGGCCGCGCCTGGGGTCGGTATCGTTTAACCGATCCCCATCCCCATCCCCATCCCCTTCGAGACCCCTACCAAATTACCCCCCCAATTGGGGATACACCCCTCGAGACCCGAAGGGAACGACCTGTATCCCCGTCTAGGGGGGTAATTCGGCCAGCGGGGCCCAGACCACGCTGGTGGGGATGGGGATCGGTTGAACGATACTCACGGGGCGCGCGGGCCCGCCGGAGGCCTCGGCGCGCGCCGCCTCGGCGGGCGCGCGCCCCCGCCGTGGGCGGCTGCCGCCTCGCCGACGGCGTGCTCTGCGGGGTCGGGCTTAAGGCGGGCCTGTCCCTCTGCAGGGGGGAATGTTCAGAAGTAGTCAAATGAGGATCTGGGGACTACTTTTTGAGTAGTTTTGGGCACTTTTTTGTGAGTGCGTTTGGGATATTTCTCAGTGTTCGTCCAAAATCCCCCTGTAGGGGGACACGCCCGACTTGAGCTTCGGCGCTTGCTGCCTCGGCAGGCGCGCGCCCCCGTCGTGGGCGGCTGCCGCCTCGCCGACGGCGTGCTCTGATTGTGCGGTGCCGTCATCGGCTGCCGCGCGCCGCGCGTGGCTCGCAGATGTCTGCCTCGAGGACGGGTGCGACTGCGAGGGCGGCGGCGTCTGCGCGCTCCCGGGTGGCCACTCGTTTCCCCCCTTGCCCTGGAGGCTCCATCCCGTCCAACCTCCAGTCCATAGAAACGGGGTGGGGTCTCCTCTCCCCGACGGTTGCTGCACGGCTCCAAATCCTGGGCTGGTCCCCCCCCCCAGGTTCTCATTGCGCTCGTATTGTAGCAGTGCGTCTGGCGTTAAGCCGCAAACCCCATTTTCGCGGCCGGGTTCGTTTGCTTTGCGTTGCCAAGCCCGCGGGGATTGCCGCCGCGGTTCGTCTGCACTGCATGAGGGCAGGGGTGAGCTGACTGATCCAGGGGATGAGCTAACGCGTCATGTTCCTCTTCGGCGGGTTGCTGGTTCTTCGGCCTTCGCTACGCGACCGTCTTGCGGTGTTTATTCCTCGACCTCGCTGTCTACGCCTGCGAGTGCGTGGGTGCGATCGTCTGCTGCTCAGAGTACATGTTTTGCTCCTCTGAGGACGGTGTCCTGTCCTCCACGCGCGTCAGTGCCATCGCAGATGGAGGTTGGCCAGTGCTCGCCCTGGTGCGAGCCAGTGCCCTCTTCTTCACCTCCTCCGATCACCTGCTGGCCGTCGCCGGCCGCCCGCGAGGGGAAGAAAGCAGCGGCCAGCCGCCTGCGCCGCTAGAGGCTGCTGCGCCGCGGCCGCTCTCCTCGGCCCCCGGTCCTGCTCCTTCTGCTGCCGCGGCCTCCCCGCTTGGGCCGCATCCTATGACACCGTGGGAGGGAGGAGGAGGAGGGAGGAGGAGGAGGAGGAGGAGGAGGAGGAGGAGGAGGAGGAGGAGGAGGAGGAGGAGGAGGAGGAGGAGGGGAGGAGGAGGAGGGAGGAGGAGGAGGAGGAGGAGGAGGAGGAGGAGGCTCTCGACGCGTACGTCGGGCGCTCCGCGCCGCCGAGCCGCCCGACAGGGCACGTGGGCCCACGGAGTCGTGCCACCCGCGGGCTGGGCGGGAGCGGCGGGCCCACCCTCTCTCTGCGCTCCGCTCCGCGTCCTCCCTCCCTCTTCCTCCTCCTTCCTCCCTCTGCCTCCTGCCCCTCCCCCTCGTGCCCCCTCCTGCTCCCCCTCTTTCCCCTCCTCTTCCTCCTGCTCGTTTCCCGTCGTGGCGCCCTCCACAGCCTGTCGACTTGGCTGAAGCTCTTGACTGCCTTGCGCCTCTTGCGGGCCCTCGCCAGCCTCTGGGGGCCTCTTCGTGGCGCAAATTTCCCCCCGATCTCAAGCTCAGAGCAACTGTTCCCCTCAGCAACAGCCACTGCCCACGACCATTTTACCAAGCGCGATTTGTTTGACGTGGTATACGTGGTGATGCTCTTTGAGCACTCAGCGCCGCGGGCGCCAGACAGGACGGAACACTTCCACCCATAGTCAGTCTGTTTTCGCATCGTGTTTTTTTGTGTCTCCGGGCAAGCCTGTGTATTCATTGTGGAGTTGATTCCAATGCGCATTTCCTACATTCGTTTGTTACGTTTTGGCTACCCTGTGTTTTCCGACATTTTGGTCGCGACCTGTTCCCTCGGGCTAGCGAGAATAGCTTTCCAGGCAGTGGTATTCCGACGTCTTGATTGAAAACGTCTCCTGGCAGAGATATTCCTGGATGTCTGCTTCTTTGCTGGGCAAGGTCGCCGGGAAGACAAACTGCAGCGGGAACTCCACGCGGCGCAGTTTTCTGCAGCCTCTTCATGTAGGGGGCCACATGCGCACCCTACCCCTACCCCCCACGATTTCTGAGGGGGAGGGCGGGGTTCACTTCGCTCGGGGGCTCCCGGACAGAGTGAACCCCACCCTCCCCCTCAGAAATCGTGGGGGGCAGGGGTAGGGTTCGCATGTGGCCCCCTTATCATGAGATCCCCCCCCGACCAGAGGGGGCCACTTCTCGACCCGACTCCTCTTCGGCCTCTGGGCGGCGCGCGAGCAGAAAAGCCATCCCGCCGGCGCGCCCGGCACCCTCCCGTGGAGAGAGGGGGCCCTCCGGAGGCCCCCCGAGAGGCCCGCGGAGGCCCCCCCGAGAGAGAGGCCCTTCGAGGCCCGACCCGGGCGAGACAGGCTCGGAAGCCTCGGCCCTCCCGTCGCTGTCGTCGTCGTCGTCGCTGTCGTCGTCGTCGTCGTCGGCGTCGGCGTCGTCATATCGTCGTCGTCGTCGTCGTCGTCGTCGTTGGCGTCGGCGTCGTCGGCGTCGGCGTCGTCGTCGTCGGCGTCATCGTCGTCGTCGTCGTCGTCGTTGGCGTCGGCGTCGGCGTCGGCGTCGTCGTCGGCGTCATCGTCGTCGTCGTCGTGCGGGCGTTTTGGGGGGGGGCATAACGTAACGCCCCAGCCCGCCGCCGTGTGGCTCTGGCAGCAGAGCGCCTGCGCGCATTGGCGACAGGAGCCTGCGAGCGGGAAGGTCGGCGCGTGGGAAGGTCGCCGGCGCGACATTGGCGATAGGAGCCTGCGAGCGCAGTACCATGTCTGCGAGCACGCGCAATGAGCCTGTCAACGCCACGCTAGCCCGCGAACGTTACAGTAGCCTGGAAGCACCACAGTTGCTGGCGAACATCACAATGGCAGTGCCAGGGGCGCACTACGGAATTGGGGGGCGTTACGTTGTGGGGGGGGGCATAACGCTCGTTATATCCCACAGGGTTTTAAACATCGTCGTCGTCGTCTTCGTCGACGCCTCCGCCGCCGCCGCCGCCGCCGTCGTCGTCGTGGTCATCGTCGTCGTGGTCGTCGTCGTCGTCGTCGTCCGCGTCGTCGTCGTCGTCGGTGCCTCGGGACCTTTCGCGGACTCCCCCCAGGAGGCCTTCGACGGCCCTGGCGGCGCTGACTTCGGCCGCGCTGCTCCCGAAGCCTTCCTCCCGCGCCTCCTTGCCCGTGCCCGGCTGGCGACGTTCGCGGGGGCCTCCGACGACGCGGGCGACGACGACGGCGATCGAAGAAGAAAACAAACGCCATGAACATAAACTTTTGGCGCCCCGCGCTGATTTCTTGGATCCGCGCTGCGTCCCCCGGCGGCGCCTCCGGCGTCGCCCCTGTCGCGCTCCGCGCGCCAGGGAAGGGGATCCAGTGCGGATCCCAAGAAATCCGCGCGGAGCGCCAAATGCTTCTGTTCATGGCGTTGTTTCCTCTCCTAGGCGAGGGCGCCGAGCCCGAGTCCTTCCTGCAGCTGGCGGGCTTCGACGACGCGGACGACGGCGACGGCGACGGCGGCGCCGCGCCCGAGTCCTTCTTGCAGCTCCCGGGCGGCCCGGAGGTGGGGGCGGGCCACCAAGAGGGCAGGAACAGGAGGAGGAAGAGGAGGAGGAGGAGGAGGAGGAGGGGGAGGAGGAGCAGGAGGAGGAGCAGGAGGAGGAGGAGGAGGAGGAGGGGGCAGGAGGACGGGGAGGAGGAGGAGGAGGAGGAGGGGGCAGGAGGACGGGGAGGAGGAGGAGGAGGAGGAGGAGGAGGAGGAGGAGGAGGAGGAAAAGGAGGAGGCGAGGAGGCGAGGACTCGAGGAGCCACGCGGTGCCTCCGCCGCTGCCGCTGGGGCGGGCGCCGCGGCCGCGAGTTGCCATGGTTTCATCGGCGGAAGGCGGCGTGTGGTTGTTGTACGTATTTCAGCCTCCCCTCCTCCTGCGCCGCGGGCTCCTTCTTTGCCCTGCCGCTGCTCTGGCTCGCAGGGCCTTTGGGTTACTTGGCGCACTGGCCGCGGGCGCGCGCGAGCCCCTGTAAAAGGGACGAGAACGCGCTCTCTCTCTCTCTCTCTCTATTTCTCTTTCTCTCTCTCTCTCTCTTTCTCTCTCTCTCTCTCTCTTTCTCTCATCACGGGTCCCACTAATTGTATTACGTGTCTTTCTGTATTCCGTACAGTTACTCCCGTACATTCCGCACGGCGGAAATAAAAGCTGCGTCCCCAAGAGATGACAATTCTTGACGCTTCGCGTATCCCCACCAGCCCATCCTATACCAGGCACTCGAACGAAGAGCGCCGATGATCGGCAGCTGTTCTCCTCCCCCTCTTCCTCATTCTCCTCCGCCTTCTCCTCCTCCTCCCTTCCTCCTCCTCCTCCTCCTCCTCCTCCTCCTCCTCCTCCTCCTCCGCCTCTTCCTCTTCCCTGGTGGCGTCTTGGAGGTATCTTCGAACGTTTTGGTGGGCTCTTGGGCCTCGCGGGCGGGCGGGCGGCGCTCCGCCCGCCCGCGCGCAGGGCGCAAGAGGAGAGTCCGAGACGTCTCTTGAGGCCCTCTTGGAGGACATCGATCGCAGAAGGGGGAAGCATTTTTTAGCGTCGCCCCCCTGGGGGGCACGATCCTCGTGAGGGGTGTTGAATTTTAGCCCTCCCAGGGGTCGTTCTTGGACGCTCTAACTACCCGCGGCCCCCCTGTCCAGGTCAGTGGGGAGGGGGTAAGGGGGAGGGGTAAACCCCTCCCCGAAGGGGAAGAAGGAGGGGTGGAAGAGGAAACGCTCTAAACCACCGACGCCCAGAGGGCTGGTGGGATTTTCAGCCATATTGGAGGCTATCTTGGGCTCCCCGAAGCTCTTTCGGAACCGTCTTGGCCCATCTTTCACTATCTTGTGAGCCTCCTGGAGGCCTCTTGGGCGTCTCTTGGGGCGTTCTTGAAGCGCTGTTGGAGGCCTCAGAGGCGCTGGTAGAGCCCATATTGGAGGGGATCTGTCAAAGAAAGCGGAAGCACTAATTAGCGTCGCTCCTGGAAAGCCTCTAAAATCGCCTCCTGAACCGCTCTTGGAGGGCTCTTGGAGCGCTCTTGGGCGCTCTTTGCGCCGTCTTCGGGCTTTCTTGGGCCCTTCTTGGAGCTATCTTGAGCCATCTTGGAGCTATCTTGACGCCTCGGGTGGGCATCGGAAGCGAAAGCGCGAGAACGCCAAAAACATTGATTTTCCCTAGGGTTTTGAAACATTTTGGCTTCTTGGGGGCATCCGAGGGGAGCTCTAGTGGACACTTAGACCCGTCTTGGGGCGGTCTTGGAGCGTGGCATCCTTGCGCTATCTTGAACCATCTTGGAGGCGATCTTGGGCTCCCTGAGGCCCTCTTGGAGTCGTCTTGGCTCATCTTGGACGCTCCAACGCGTCGCGGCCCCCCCTGTCCAGGTCAGTGGGAGGGGGTGGGGGGAGGGGTAAACCCCTCCCCGAAGGGGAAGAAGGAGGGGTGGAAGAAGAAACGCTCTAAACCACCGACGCCCAGAGGGCTGGTGGGATTTTTGGGGGTCCGGATTTCCGGAACCCGCCAGCTGGGAAAGCCCCAAGGGGCCGCAGCTCCAAGGCTCCCGAATTGAGGTCCGAGCAGATGGGGTCGCGCCGCATCGCCGACGCTTCGTCGATGCGGTTCGATGTGTAGTCAGATTTTTGCCACGCCGACGTCGCCGATGCATTTCCGACGTCGCCGATGCATCGGCGATGCGACTGCGATGCGGCGCAATCCCCTTACCCCGTCTACGTATCCGGACACATCTTGGAAGCCCTCCAGCAGCGGCGGCAGCAGGACGTGGGTATGGGGCCTCAAAAAAAATACACGTGAAATCTTACAAGGCCTACACAAGACCCATCCGAAAGAGGGGGAGGGGCAGGGCTTCAACCGCACAAGCTTCCCCTCAGACGGGCCGCGTGCCCACGGCTGATAAGCTCGATCGCCGTGAGCCGGTTTCGCCGAGTGCTCGGATTCTCTGCGGGCCCACGCGGTTCGTGGCGCAGCTTGCGGACCGTTCGGGCCAAGTCAGGGCCGCTGCGGTGCCCAGCGCACCGACGGCAGCAACACACGGGGTTCACACAGAAAGCGTCGTGCCCGAAGGCCGCGAGCTCGGCGAGCAGAGACGGCTCCTCGGGGGTTTGAAGCCTCCGTCGGCCTGCCGCTACCGAAAGGGTCCCGCGGCCGAGCCCCAGTAGCAAAAGAAGGACGTGCACGTACAGTCAACCCGCATGGCAAGGATCAACGACATCCCAGTTTTACCCTTGCATCGTCCTCCTTCGACCCATCCCTTGTCCGCCTTCGCCTGCCCCGCCCCGCCCCCAGCATACGCCCAGGAGGCCTCCAGAAGGCCTCGAGGAAGCCTGTAACATTTTTGTGAGGCCCCCAGAGGCTCTCCAAGGAGGAGCCTCCGCAGAAAAGAGCTGAGGAGGATGGCGAACACAAGGACAAAGAAGCATGGAGGAAGGATAACGAATAACATTAGTATAGCGGCGATGCCGGAAAAGGCAACAATGAGTTATCGCTTAATTGTCGGCTTCACCTTGCTGCTATTCCGCCTGCATACCAAACTTCAAGGACCAAGGTGCATTGCGCGAAGCGCCACTGCAGTCTTGTGTGTATATATAACACTTGTGGATGCTTTCAGTGTCTGAAGGTTTTGGCAGATCGCCACCCTGATTTGCCCCCTCCCATCTGGAGTGCGTTCTGACTAAGATTTCGGGGCGAATCCATGCCGGACGAGGTTCCCCAACCCCCCACCCGACCTAGGGAGGCCAACAAAAAGACGGCAAACACTGACACATCCCATCTCCTGCTGCCTTCCCCAGCTGTCTCCGGGAGCCTCCAGAGGTCTCTGAAGATCGACAGGCAGAGCACCGTCAAAAGATGTCGGTCCTCCTCCTCCTTCTTGCTCCTCCCTTGCGTCCCGAACAGGTCGTGCTGCCACCTCAGCCGGCGCTGCCGCCAATGCCCACCTCGCTCATAGAGGAGCCGACGGCCGTTTTCTCCTCCTCAACCTCCTACTCCTCCTCCTATCCTCCTCCTACTCCTCCTCCTATCCTCCTCCTCCTCCTCCTCCTCCTCCTCCTCCTCCTCCTCCTCCTCATCATCCTCCCCCTCCCTCCCTCCCTCCTCCCTCCTCCCCCATTTCCGCCTTGCCCCTCTCCTGCCTCCCTCCCCCCTATCCCCCCCTCTCTCTTCTTCTTCTTCCTCTTATTTTTATGGTTATTCTTCTTCTACCTCTTCTTCTTCTTCTTCTTCTTCTCCGTACTCTTTTCATTCTGCACCCCCAACCCGCCGCCCCTCGCCGCGCTCCCGCGCGCGCTGGAGCGAGCGCGCAGGAGTGGGAGAAGGAGGGAGGGCAGGGTGAACAGGAGAGAGGAGAATGAAGAGGGAGGAGGAGGAGGAGGAGGAGGAGGAGGAGGAGGAGGAGGAGAAAGAGGAGGAGGAGGAGGAGGAGGAGGAGCAGGAGGAGGATGAGGAGGAGGACGAGGAGCAGGAGGAGGAGGAGGAGTGAGGAGGGAGACGATGATGAAGAGGACGGAGAAGGAGGAGAAGGAGGAAGAGGAGGAGGAGGCGGAGGGGAAAGACGAAGAGAAGGTTGATGATGATGATGCTGATGATTATGATGATGTTGATGGTGATGATGATGATGTTGATGGTAATGGTCACGATTACGATGGTGGTGATGATGATGATGATGACGAGGAGGAGGAGGAGGATTATGATGATGATGAGGATGGTGATCTGGAGCAGGTTTATGATGAGGATGATCATGGTGATGATGGTGATGATGATCACGATCACGATGATGATCACGATGACGATGCTGATGATGATGGTGATGATGATGATGCTTATCATGGTGATGATGGTGAAGATGATGAGGATGTTGAGGATGCGGTTGAGGATGATGACGATGATGATGTTGATGCTGTTGGTGATGATGATGCTGATGCTGATGCTGATGCTGATGCTGATGTTGATGATGATGCTGATTACGATGACGATGACGATGCTGATGTCGATGACGATGAGGATACGGATGATGATGCTGACGATGGTGAGGAGGATTACGACGAGGGTGCTGGTGGTGGTGATGATGACAACGATGATGATGATGATGATGATGATGCTGATGATGATGATGATGATGACGATGATGATGGTGATGGTGATGATGATGATGATGATGATGATGATGATGATGATGATGATGATGATGATGATGATGATCATGATGATCATGATGATCATGATGATCATGATGATCATGATGCGGATGCGGAGGAGGAGGAGGAGGAGGAGGAGGAGAGTGATGGTGATGGTGGCGGTGATGATGATTCGGATGAGAATGATGATGTGTTGTTGATGATAGTGAGGAGGAGGCGGAGGAGGAGGAGGAGGAGGTTGTGGAGTAGAGGGACGAAGGGGGAAAAGGAGGGATGTGAACAAAAAGGACTGGGATGAGGAGCCGGAGGAGGAGGAGAAGTAGGAGGAGGAAGATGAGGAACAGGAGAAGGGGGAGGAGGAGGAGGAGGAGGAGGAGGAGGAGGACCAGTGTAAACCCAGGACTTACAAACGATGTTGCGATAAGCCCTCCAGCCAAAGTCACTCTTCGCAGGCTCCTATCAGGAGTTATTTTCACTGCGGGAGGAGCCCCGTTGGAAGACGACCCTTTGAAAATCGTGAACCGTGCCAAAGCACGATGCATGGGACTTCAATTCCGCGAATCGAAGTCATGGTTGCGACCTGACGGTCCTAAATCGCGCCAGGACACCGTCTTTGTGACGCCAACACCGCGAAATAACGTGATCGTCGCGCCCTGGCAATCCCAAATTGTGCCCAAACACCGTCTCTGGGACGTCCGTCAGCCATAGGGTCTCTGAGCATATAAACTGTTAAGACGACTGCGTCGCCAGGGCGAGAGCCACATTTTTAGAAGGGGCTGCTCCTCATCCCTGAGGCTCTTGCAAGCTTTTATGACGAATGTGCGCGGCGCTAGTTCGAGAGCTACATTTTGAAAAGGTGACACCCTTCACTCGCGAAGCACGTGCAAACTTTTCAGACGAACGCACGCGGCGCCAATGCGAGAGCAACCTGATGAACAGGTGCCACCCTCCATCCGTGAAGCTCGTGCAGGCGCTGCAGACGAATGTTCAGGCGAGGGCAACATTTCGAAAGCGGGCCGCCCTCGATCCGTGAAGCTCTTGCAAGTGTCCACAAGCGGTGAGGAAGTCTCGGGCGACAGGCCTGGCCTGCCCTGCCCGGCCCGTTTCTCGGGGTGCGACGGGGAGGAGTTCTTCATGAGGGGAGAGGGCCAGAGGCGGAAGAGGAGGAGGACGAGGAGGAGAAAGAGGAGGAGGAGGGGACGAGGAGGAGGAGGAGGACGAGGACGAGGAGGGGGAGGGGGAGGAGAAGGAGGCGGAGGAGGAGGAGGAGGAGAAAAAAGACCAGAGTAACCCCAGAATGCGTCAGCGATGCTGCGACAGACCCTCTCGTCCCGAGCCCCCTCCATCACGGGTCCCTGCGAGACTTCCTCTGCACGACGGGAGGCACCCCCCCCAGACACAGAGGCGAGCGCCTCGTGACCCGCCGTTCCTATGGAAGCTTCATCTGAGAGAAGAGCGCCCGTGCAGCCTTCTGGCTTCCAGCAGCAAGACATGCGAAGATGTGTGATCACACAGTTCAGCATCTCGAGAAGGAGCTACCCTCTATTCGTGTGGCTGCTGTACAAATGTCACATTGTAGGCCATCGTTTTTGAAGGCGTCTCAAGCGAGAGTCCCGCCTTGAAAAGGAACCACACTCCGCCCTTGTCACTTTTGTGCAACTTTCCAGTCCGGGAGTCTTGAGCGATAGCCCTGTTTTCAAAAATAATGGCATTACAACCGTATAATTGCATGACGCTTTGATTACGAAGGTGCATGGCGCTAAACCGACATCCACATTTCGAAAATTGTTTGCGTGCGTATAACTTGTTAGAATATGGTACGACGAATATTCGCGGCAGTAAGTCGAGATCCACAGTTTGAAAACCACCGACCATCCATGTTTGCATCGGCTGGGCATGTGTCACACGAATGTGCGCGGCGCACAGACGAAATATGGTACGACGAATATTCGCGGCAGTAAGTCGAGATCCACAGTTTGAAAACCACCGACCATCCATGTTTGCATCGGCTGGGCATGTGTCACACGAATGTGCGCGGCGCACAGACGACAGTCTTTTTTAGCTCGGATGCACCCTCCACCTTTGTTCTAAATTGTCCGGACGGTTGTGCGTGGCGTTGAGACGAGAGGTTTCCAAGCGACCCGACCACCGTCAGTATAATCCGAGTAAGCAATTAAGAACCCCTACCCCTCTCCGCGAAAGTATAACGCATCCGGCACCCTGGAAGCGTTACCTCGGAACCTCGCAACCTGCTTTGAACGCAGACGAGCCTGCCAGCCGACACAAGCAAACCGCCTGAGACATTCTCGCAAATCTGGTCTCCATGTGGTTCTGAAGCAAGCGCCTCGCCTGAGACATCCTCAGAAACTGCTCTGAACGCAGACGCGTCTGCTGTGGGGGAGTCCTAATGATATTAGTAGTAGTATTATTATTATTATTATTATTATTATTGTTATTATTATTATTGTTTTTATTAGTATTGTTGTTATTATTGGTATTATTAGTATTATTATTATTACTCGCATTTCCATTCGTATTCTTATTATGATTCCACTTCCACTTGGGATGCCACCCGAGCGGGGCGCGGGAATGATGTAGTTTCCTTCCATTTGCGCGCTGCTAATTATATCGTTTGGCGAAAACCTCCAATCATTGTTTAATTTCGGTGCGGTGCTAATGATAACCCGGGGGGGGTCCTTAATGGTTTCCTGAGGTTACTCTTGGTTATCTCAAGATTCAGGATCAGAATCGTTATTACTTTGTTTGTTGTTATTTCAAGGTGTTTGTTGTTATTTCAGAGTTGAGGATCGTAATCGGTTATGGGGTCTCAGGTGGAACGGCTGGCCCGCCCTACAGACGCGTCAGGTGGCGTAGCGGGGATGCGCTGCTCATAACGAGGAGGGTCGAGGTAGAGGACGAGAAGGAGAGAGGGGCAGGGGCAGGGGCAGGGGGAGATGGGAGGGGAGGGGAGGGGAGGATTGAGGAATGCCTCAGTAGTCCTCATTCCCTCTGTCCTTCCTCTCCCTCCTCTCTTCCTCCTCCCCCTCCTCGTCCTCCTCCTCGTCTTCCTCCCCTCCCTCTCCTACCGCCTCACTACTGCTGCTCCTCCTCCTCCTGCTGCGATAGGTGTCTGATACGGTATGACCCTTCTCCTCCTCCTCCTCCTCCTCCTCCTCCTCCTCCTCCTCCTCCTCCTCCTCCTCCTCCTCCCCGCGCGCTCCCGCAAGCGGGCTGTAACGCGCTTGCAGGACTAGAAGGAAGCAGAAAGGGGATGGAGGAGGAGGAGGAGGAGGAAGTGGAGGCAGAGGAAGTAATGGGAGGAGGAACATGAGGCAGGAGGAGAAGTTAGACGATTAGACGACGCGGAGGCGGGGGAAGGAAGGAAGGAAGGAAGGAAGGAAGAAGGAAGGGAGGGGCAGGAGGAGGAGGAGGAGGAGGAGGAGGAGGAGGAGGAGGAGGGGAGCCTAATCCCTCCTTCGCCCTCCCTCCCTCCCCTCCCTCCGTGACCGAGATCCCTCCCTTCCTCCTCCGTGCCCTGGAGCGGGCTGGCCCCTCAGGTGCCGGGCCCCAGTCCCCAGGTGCCCCCGCCCCCCGCCCAGCGGACAGGGACAAGATCCGGCAATGTCCCGGCCCGGCCTGGCTCCTCCTCCTGATCCTCCTCCTCCTCCTCGTCCTCCTCCTCCTCCTCCTCCACCTCCTCCTCCTCCTCCCCGTCCTCCTCCTCGTCCCCTCCTCGTCCTCCTCCTCCTCCTCCTCCTCCTCCTCCTCGTCCTCCTCCTCCTCCTCCTCCTCCTCCTCCGCCGTCCGGGACCCACTCTTTGACGTCCACAGGGCCCGACAGCGCCGGGGGCGGCAAAGAGGGAGGTGGGGACTAGGGGGGGGGGATCTCATGGCGGGGGCCATGATATTTCCCCAGATTTTATGGCGCCTCCTGCTATTTCGTTACGCCCCCCGCCCCCCCCCCCTGGGCCGCGCACGTGCCGCCGGCCACGATATTTGCGCCCCCCCCACTCCTGCACGCCCCCCTCTTGGCCGCACTTGGGTACCAGGATGATGTGATTCGGGGCGGCCAAGGCCACCCGGGTCGCTCACAGCAGATATAGATTCGAATCGCTTGCGCTATTCCGCCGACCCCCAGGAGGAGCCAGAGCTTGCGATGATCGTGGAAGTTATCGGACACGCCTACGGCGAATCACCGCCGCCCCCTGCCCTTTTCGGAAGCGCTTCTGTGGCCGAACGTTGTGGCCAGAGGCCTGCCAAGCTATCGGACCGTGTGTTCCCCGAATCGGTTTGGAAAGCATTCGGGGAACACGGTGGGGGAGGAGGAGAAAGAGGAGGAGAAGGAGGAAAAAGGATAAGGGGGAGGATGCCTACTCAGAGCCTCTTGAGGCACTCTTGGGCTGGATTGGGCCATCTTGGGACCGTCTTGAAGGCCATGTTGGTGCTATCTTGGGCTCTCTTGGAGCCTCTTCGGGGCCTCTTGGGGTCTTTTTTTGGACTTCTCGAGGCCCTCTTTGGCCGTCTTCGGGCGTTCCTGGCCCGTCGGGAGCCGTCTTGGGGGCCTCTCTGAACCGGCATGGGGCCCTCTTGGGGCGCTTCAGGGCCGTCTTGGAGGCCATCTTGGGCATATTGGAGGCCTCTTGGCCCGTCTTGGGGCCCTCTTGGGGCCGTCTTGGGGGCCTCTTGGGCAGTCCTGAGGCCATCCTGGAGGGCTCTTGGGCGCTCTTGAGGCGATCTTGGGGGCCTCTTGGGTCGTCTTGGGCCGTCGGAGAGCCGAGAAGAAAGACATGTTAAAATTCGCAAAAAAAGGAAAATCACTGATGTTGGCCCTTTCGGGCCTTCCTAAAGGACGTCTTGGAGGGCTCTTGGGCCGTCTTGGAGGTCTCTTGCGGGCTTTTTGGGCAGTCTTAGACCATCTTGAGGCCATCTTGGGCCGTCTGGGGTGCATCTTGGGGCCATCTTAGCCGTCTTGGAGGCCATCTTGGCTGCCTTGGAGGCATCTTAGGGACCATCTTGGCCGTCTTGGAGGCCATGTTGGGCCATCTTGGGGCAACAAATGCATCGACAGATGGATGTTGAGAAACTTTCGGCAACATTTCGGGTGGCCGGCGGGACGGGCCGAAGCCCCAGGGAGATGTTGTTTTGCAAAAAAAGCCAAAACCAAAACCGAAAGGATAGAGCACGCCAGGCACCCCTGTGATGAATTTACAGGGGGCGGCGGATCGAAGACGCCTACGGCGAATCACCGCCGCCCCCTGCCTTTTCGGAAGCGCCTATGTGGCCGAACGTTGAGGCCAGACCTGCCAAGCTATCGGACCATGTGTTCCCCGAATCGGTTTGGAAAGCCTTCGGGGAACACGTAGGCATCTTGAAGGTCATCTTGGCCGTCTGGAGGCAATTTTTACCCTTTCGGGCCTTCCTGGAGGACGTCTCGGAGAGCTCTTGGGCCGTCTTGGAGGCCATCTTGAGCGTCTTGGAGGCCTCTTGGGCGGTCTTGGGGGCCTCTTGGGGCCGTCTTGGCCCTCTTGGGCGATCTTTGGGGGCACTTGGGCCGTCTCGGGCCGTCGGCAGGCCGAAAAAAAGCAAATGCCACAATCCTTCAAAAACTCATGGGAGATCAATGATTTTGGCCTTTCCGGGCATTCCTGGAGGCCCTCTTGGAGGCTTTTTGGGCCGTCTTGGGCCATCTTGGGGCCATCCTCGGCCGTCTTGGTGGGCTCCTGGCCCGTCTGACGCCGTCAGAAGCCGTTTGGGGGGCCTCCCGGGCCGACTTGGGGCCCGTTTGGAATGCTCCAGGGCCGTCTTGGAGGCCATCTTGGGCGCCTTACAAACCTCCTGGGCCGTCTTGGGGGCCTCTTGGGCCGTTCTGGGGCCATCTTGGAGGCCTCTTGGGCGATCTTTGGGCGATCTTTGGGGGCTCTTGGGCCGTCTCGGGCCGTCGGAAGGCCGCAAAGAAGTAAATGTCAAAATCCGTCAAAATCCGCAGGAAAATCAATGTTTTGGGCTTTTTCTGGCCTTCATGGATGCCCTCTTGGAGGCCTCTTGAGCCGTCTTGGGCCAGCTTCGAGCCAACTTCGGCCATCTAGGTGGGCTCCTGGCCCGTCTGACGCCGTCGGAGGCCGTTTGGGGGGCCTCTCTGGGCCGACTTGGGGCCCTCTTGGGGTGCTCCAGGGCCGTCTTAGAGGCCATCTTGGGCGTCTTGGAGGCCTCTTGGGTCGTCTTGGGGCCCTCGCGGGGCTGTCTTGGGGCCTCTTGGGCAATCCTGAGGCCATTTTGGAGAGCTCTCGGGCGCTCTGGGGGCGACGTTGGGGGCCTCTTGGGCCGCCTTGGGTCGTCGGAAAGCCGAAAAGGAGCAAATACGAAAAACCTTCAAAACTTAAGGAAAATCAGTGAGTTTAGACTCTTTGGGCCTCCTGGAGGACCTCTCGGAGGCCTCTTGGGCCATCCTGGACCGTCTTGGAGGCCATCTTGGGCCAACGCGGCCATCTTGGAGGCCATCTTGAGCTGTCTTGGAGGATTTTTCCCGGATTGGGGATTTTCCGGGTGGCCAGCGGGACGCGCCGGAGCCCCAGGGGTCCCTTTTGGAAAAGAACCAAAGCCAAAACCGAGAGGATCTGGCACGCCAGGCACCCCTGTGATGAATAAGCAGGGGGCGGCGGATCCTAGACGCCTACGGCGAATCACCGCCGCCCCCTGCCCTTTCGGAATCGCCTATGTGGCCGAACGTTGTGGCCAGAGGCCTGCCAAGCTATCGGACCATCTGTTCCCCGAATCGGTTTGGAAAGCGTTCGGGGAACACGGTGGGGGATGAGGGAGGTGAGGGAGAAAGAAGAAGAAGGGATGAGGAGTCCTCTTGGGAGCCTCTTGGGCTACTCTAGGGTTCTATTGGGCCATCGTTGCGGTCTTGGAGACATCTTGGGACTGTCTTAGAGGCCATTTTGGGGTTATCTTGGGGCCTCTTGGGGCCATCTTGGCCTTCTTGGACACATCTCGGAGGTCATCTTTGGCCATATTGGCCGTCCTGGAGGCGTCTTGGGCCAGTCTTGGGGGCCATCTTTGGCCGTCTTCGAGGGATCTTTCGTGGACTATGAGGTCCTGTATGGTCTCTCCGTAACTGTTGAGGCCCTCTTGGGGCCGTTTTGTGGGCCTCTTAGGCCATCATGGGGCGATCTTGGAGGCCTCCTGCTTTCCAGCAGAGCCTATGTGTCGGAACGTTGTGACTGCAACTTGTTTTGTCTACTGGCCTGTTTGTTCCCCGAGTTGCGTTTGACAGCTTTCGGGGAACACGAAGGTGATAATGGCCGCAGTGAGGATTTCGATCTGGTCTCACTCACCGTACTTGGGGGGGCTCCTTGAAGAGTATTTTGGCTTACGCCACGAGCGGCCATAGAAATTAAAAGCGGTTCAGGAGATCTCGACATAACAGAAAAGTGTTGTATGGCTACAGAGTTTCAGAGGGATGTCGTGTCTTGCCTTCAAACACATCTGCCCGTCGCTGCGTCATGGTGCCTGTGTGGTCAGACCTTACGGTATATGTTTCTGACGCGAGCTATCGGACCAGGTGTTCTCCGAGCCGTTGCCGAAACTTTTCGAGTAATCGTTGTCTGGATACTGGACGCTGCGTTCCCCGAGTTTGTCTGGACAGGCTTCGGGGAACACGTGGGTGAGAATGAGTTCCATGAGCACGCCGAACTGGTTTCGTTCGCCAATCATGGTCTCTCCTGGGCATATTTTGGGCTCGCTCAACATCACGGCGGATAATTTCGGGCTCACCAGGGCTGTCCAGGGCAGTCTTGGGTTCGTCAGGGGGGTGCGTTTACATGTTTTTGAAACGTCTTTATTTTTAGTTTTTCGTCCCAAATCCCCTTGTATGGGGGACATGCCGGACCTAAGAGTAGGACGGGCGGTCCCAGATCTGGGGGGGCCATCGGCCGGCTACTAGCGGGCCGATCGCCCACCCAGATTTGGGACCTGCTCCTTACTGAGTAGTCTGTACTCTCGCTCTGCCACCTGAGGTGGCAGAATAGGAGCATAGACTAATAAGGACTCAGGATAAGAGGAAGGAGGAGGAGGAGGAGGAAGAGGTTGAGAAAGGGGGAGGAGGAGGAGGAGGAGGAGGAGGAGGAGGAGGAGGAAGAGGAGGAGGAGAAAGGAGGAGGAGGAGGAGGAGGAGGAGGAGCAGTTGAGCGGCGACGACGGCCCGTGGGAGGAGCCGGCGGCACTGCTGACCGTTCCGGCGCTGGCGCCGCTATTGCCTTCGCCCGCGGCTCCGGCCGACGCCGCAGCTGGGGCGACGGCGGAGAAGGCCATTCCGATCTTCCCCCTTTCTTTCCTCCCCCATTCCCTTCGTCTTATCCCTTCGCGCCGCAGCCATTTCCAAGTCCACGTTTCCCTCCGGCCTTCGTCCTGCTCCCTGCTCCCCGCTCCTCCCCTGGAGGGCCACCCTTCACCGCGGCCGGGGCTCTGACGGGGACAGGCGAGGGAGGAACAGGGAATGCCAGCGCCCTGAATTTTTTGGGTTGCCACAATCCCTGGCGTGGCCGTCCAGACCACACAAGTGAAACGGGCCCTTGATTTCCTTCCTTCTCCCCCTCTTTTCTCCCCCCCTGGACCCACGACGATCCTTGCCATAATCCCTGGCGTGGCCGTCCAGACCAGACAAGGGAAGCAGGCCCTAGGTTTCCTCTCTTCTCAGCCTGTCCCCCCCCCCGGACCCGCGACGATCTCCTTCCCCCTCACGCTCCACCCCTCCCTCCTCGCCCCTCGAAGGGCCGCACTTGCCAGGCAAGTGCCCGAGCACTCCGATCCTGGGCCCGGGATAGGCCTGGGCAGGGCCACTGTCGCTGCACAGCTGGCGTTCCTCCCTCCCAGGCTGCCCCCCCCCCCCAGCGGTCCTGGACCGGGTGCTGGGCTGGACAAGGCAGGTGTCGGCGGCATAGTTGGCGTTGCCCGTCTCCCCCAGCGCACCCCATATCCCTCGCGCCCCACCCTTCCTCCCCGCCTTGCCCCTCCCCCCATTCGCCCGACTCCCATCACCGCCTCTCGCCCCCCCGGCGTTCCCTCGTTTTCACACGGGGAGACCTCGAACAGAGCATCCGATCACGTTGCGCTGGACACGGGAGCTGCCGAAGTCCGCAACAGGGCACCCCGTTCTTGCCACACCAGGGCCACACGCTGGGGCGGCGATTCGTTGCGCGCTAGCTGCTCCTGCGCGTACTGAGCAAGCAGACTTTGGAAGGCCCCCCACGGGCTTGGCACCCTGAAGCAGTCACACATGCTCGTGGCGCCAGCATCGTAGAGCGGATCTCGTTCGGAAGATGAGAGGGCGGGCCCAGAGTGTCCTGGAGAATCTCGCTCCAGACTTCGAGGCGAATTTCGTGCGGGCTTCTTTGCGTCAGGAATGATGACCAAAAATGATCCAAGCGAAGTCCACTTCGTTTTTCGCTCGCCGTTTCGGGCAATCATCCACGCAGAAATCCGCTGCAGCACGTCTGCAAGGCCGGCGCAGTGAACATTTTGAACATGTCTTTGGGATTTAGTGCCCACACGCCCAGCGCGGGTTCCACCAGTCCTCCTGCCTTTCCTGCTTCTCCCCCGTTCCTCTCTCCACCTCCCGCTCCCCCTGCGCTGTCCTCCCCTCCTTCTTCCTCGTCCTTCCTGGTGTTCCTCCCTCCTCCTCCTCCTCCTCCTGCTCCTCCCCCTACTCCTCCCCCCTGGGAGGAGGGCGAAGTGGAGGAGGAGGGAGGATGAGGAGGAGGAGGAGGAGGAGGAGGGATGACCAGAGTAAACCCAAGAGTCATCAACGATGTTCGAATCAGCCCTCCCTCCAAGCTCCCTCTTCATAGGCCCCTACAACGGTTCATTTCCATTGAGGGAACTGCCTCGTTGGAACACAAGCGCTTGAATACCTTGAAGCATGCCAAAACATTGGTTTCGGGATTCAAACGCCACGGATCGACTTGATTGTTGCGTCTTGACGACCTGGAATGGTGTTAGAACACCGCTTGAGCCTTCAATGCAACAAATCAACATAACTGTTGCACCCTCATAATCCTGAACCCCCTGGAAACACCATTTCTGATACGCTGATCGTGGGAATCCCTGAGACTCTTGCAATTTATGTAACAGAATGTGCGCGGCGCTAATGCGAGAGCCACACTTTGAAAAGGAACCGCCCTCAATCCGTGAAGCTCTTGCAAGTGTGACAACATGTTCGCGGCGCCCAGGCGAAAGCCACATTTTGAAAACCACCCGCCCTCAATCCTTGTAATTCTTGCAATTTGCTCGAACGACTGTGCGCGGCGCTAATGCGAGAGCCACTTTTTGAAAAGGAACCGCCCTCAATCCGTGAATTTCTTGCAAGTGTAGAACAAATGTTCGCGGCGCCAAGGCGAGAGCCACATTTTGAAAACCACCCGCCCTCAACCCGTGAAACTCTTGCAATGTTTGAAAACGAAGGTGGGCGGCGCTGAGGCGAGAGCCGCATTTTGAAAACCACCCGCCCTTAAGTTGTGAAACTGTTCTATTATCTCTTCCGCTTCAGGGTCATGAATCGTGAGGAAGTCTCAGGCGAAACGCCCGGCCCTCCCTGAAACCTGGCCTCGGGGTGCGACAGTGCGAAATTATTCACAAGGAAAAAGGAGTGGAGGCGGGACGGGGAGGACGGGCGAGCGAGGCGGGCTGAGAAGCGGTAGGATGATGATATTGGTGGCGCTAATGATGATGATCATGACGTTGAGGGTGATGACGACGATGCTCATGATGACGATGTTGCTGCTA